CTCGCATCCCTTGGGCCATAATGGATATACAATCGAGGATCGTATATCTCGGCACCCATCTATAAAAAAAGTAATGAAATCAGAGATTGTTTTGATAAAAAAAAACACAAAATCAAATTGTTTCGATTAAAAGAAAATCATAAACCAAAAACCTACACGAAGAGCCTCTTCGTCCATTTTTTGGCGGAAGCCGGACAGAGGTTTGACGGGTTTAGGTTTGTAAGGGACGGGAACTTAGCGGGACGGGGGCTTTAGGGTCAAACTCTAGTAATTCTTTCTGATGTGGAAGATCGGACTTAGCCGCAACCACAGAGCATACTTAGAACGAGACTAGAGCGGATAAATTGAGGGAGAAAGAAGTGAAATAGTTGTGGTGTGAGTTGTAAGTGAAGGGGGAGGGTTATTTATAGTTGGGGGAAGGGGGGAGGCGCCTGCGCAGTAATTAATTGGACAGCCTTCACCCTGTTTGAGGGACGCGGTGAAGGCATCGCGTTTCCCCAAAACGGTCACTCCAGAGGGGACGTGGCGTGTTGTGAGGCGTCGGATCGTGGGAAGAAAACCACGATCCGCGCCTCACCGCATCTAACGGCCACGGTGAAAGTACAATGGCGCGGATCGCTGACGTAAACAAACACAGGGTATTCACCGTGTTTGTCTAACGCGGTGAATACCCCGCGTTGGTCCACGTCAGCGACTTCACCGTGGTCCATTAAAACGGTGAAGTCCTCACCGTTTTTGATTAAAACGGTGATGATTTCACCGTCTCTATTTAAAACGGTGAATACGTCACCATTTTTATTTAAAACGGTGAAATGTTCACCGTGTTTATCAAACGCGGTGATAAACTTCACCGCCTTTGTCAAAAACGGTGATGCTCAAACATGTGTACTTTTGGAAAAAATTTATAACTTATGTATTTTGGGAATTTTTTTTAATAACTAGTGTACTTTGGGATTTTTTCCACAATTGTTGGTCCAAGCGGTGATGAAGTTACAGCGTTGTTTGACTTTATTGTTCATTATCATTAAAACATAGAGTAAATGTAGCGGCCCTCATATTAGATAAGTCAGTGATAATAGGTAACAATAATAAATAATTAGGAAAATTAGGAATCTGATACCATTGAAAAAAATAACAAATAATAAAAAGAAAAATACAAACAGATAACACTCGCCGCCCATCGGGCGGGCACAAAACTAGTAATTAATGTAAGCTTGTATGAACAATATATGTATGCAAGCTGGGGAGACAAAAACTTCAGTTGAAACACAAGTCCGAACAATTCAAGTAAAATTCCCATCAACTATGGAAGTTAAAACCCAAGTCTATCACATATTTCACATATATAGGGGGAAAAAAGTTTTGCCTGCCCGCCTCCTAAATTCGCGTTTGATAACTCAGCAGGTCCCGCCGGGGAAACCTTTGTCTAATGCCTCACTAGTTAAACGTCCTTTTCGCCGGCCGGCCTTGATTGGTACACCGAATCTTCCTCCTTCCACATGCCATTATCCCATATTAGAAGAACGTAGCATCTCGATTATGTATTACGTTACAAGCTAAAGGACTTAATTGTCTATGTACGTACAAGAGAGATGCCATGCATACTTTACCTTACATGTGTGTCAAGTTGCGAAACCGTATCACGACCGTAGTTAGTTTGATAATAACGTAAAAGAGAAGCAGGCATGGTTCCAAGTTCGAAGTTGACGTAAATTAATGTGGCGGACCTATAACTACAATTATAATTCGACGGGGAATCACTTTTGGAAAAGCAATGGTTTCCGTTCCAGTTCTTTCACCTTCAGAATCATTTCCTAAATATTAAACCTGTTTTTTGCCCCCCTTTCCTTCTAGTGCATGGGTAACGTGCAACAAGTGGTTCGTAAAGACTGTGGATAGAGACCAAACACGGTGCATCTTCTCAAGCAGTATTGCTAATTAATTCTCTCTCTTTCCCCAAAAGTTTATTCCTTCCAATCTGGTACTGCAAACTAACTATAGCTAGTTTGTGTTTTTATGCCAAACCTATAGCTAGTTAACTTCCTTTTTGAACCATGGTGAACAAAGATCGCATCGGATCAGACGAAACATCAAAAGTAGGAATAGATTTTGCATTCCTAATTAGAGAAGAATCCAAAATGCCAAACCTAGCTCCTTTTCGAACCATGGTGAAGACTGAAGAAATTAAAGCACATTTTTCAGGGATGCAAGGTTATAGCATTTGTTTAGGATGATAATACCTAACGAGATTCGAATTTTGGGATTAGCAACAAATTTTATATTATAAGCAAATGAAATCGGGACAACATGAGCTTTGGTTTCGATAAGATTCTGTTTTTATGAATCGATGGAGGAGGTTCATGATAATATTTACAAGTTCAAACACTTCAAAATTTTATAGTTCTGATTCTCTATCTATATGTGTATATATATGTGACAAGGATCCAGGATTTGATTTAATAATAATCTCGTTCTTAGCTAGCTAGCCAAGTTCCTCCGGAAAGAAAGGTGATAAATGTTAGAAGGGAGATTATTAAACAAAATAACCCTATATATGGTGGCTTCTACCATACCTCGGGTGAAATTCGGGGTACCGCATACCTTGAGTATGAAAACACTATCTAGATCTCGAATTAGCAGGATTTTTAGGCATGATACTATACCCTAACCCTTAATGAGTGAACCCTAGGTCCTAATTATCTAAATCATAAACTATAAACTCTAAGATGTTGCATTGATTTTTTTGCCTATATTTGGACGAATCACAACCGTCGATTATTGTTTCTAATTAAATTGATCTTGGGGTATAAGATTTAGAGAATTAAGACCTAGATTTTTTTATCTTTAAGGGTTAGTGTATAATATCATGTCCGAAAAATCAGTCAACTCGAGTTCTAGATAGTGCATGTTTTCTTACTCAAGGTATGTTGTACCCCGGATTTGAAATCCGGAGTACCGCATACCTTGAGTATGAAAACACTATCTAGACCTCGAATTAGCAGGATTTTTGGGCATGATACTATACCCTAACACTTAATGAGTGAACCCTAGATTCTAATTATCTAAATCATAAACTATAAACTCTAAGATGGTGCATTGATTTTTTTTGCCTATATATGGATGAATCACAACCGTCGATTATTGTTTCTAATTAAATTGATCTTGGGGTATAAGATTTAGAGAATTATGACCTAGATTTTGATCTTTAAGGATTAGTGTATAATATCATGTCCGAAAGATCAGTCAACTCGAGTTTTGGATAGCTTTTTTTTACTCAAGTTATGTGGTACCCCGGATTTCACCCTGGGTACCGTAGAAATATATATAATTAACAGATAAGATATCATTAATCAAAACATAAATGCGAAAGTGTTAGTATTTAGTGATGACAAATGAATTGGATTTATAACTTTGTGAATATGATTAAACATAACCATACGTATAAGGAAGTGATTAAGTACCATACATGGGCATGTATAAGATCCAGCGCAACCTTCTCCCAACAACTCGAGTTATGGTGACCAACTGGTTTATGACATGGTACCAGAGCTGGTTTGTTCTTGAGGTCACATGTTCAAGTCCTCACGACCCCCAATATTAATTGTTGTCTTTCAAGCACATGGTATGGCGGGCCTGTGCAAACTTCAAGCCCATGAGTCAGCTTTCGGTTGAGGGGGCGTGTAAGGAAGTGGTTAAGTACCATACATGAGCCTGTATAAAATCCAGCATAACCTTCTCCCAAGAATTCGAGTTATTGGGACCAACTGGTTTATGACATGGTATCATGGATTAGATTAAATGGACACTTGAATCATGGATTAGATTCGTAAACTTATGGATCCAAATGACATTTTATTTTAGGTACTAAAATATCATTCCAAAAAATTTAGATACAAAAACATAATTTTTTGTGTGTATTATTTGCTAAAAATTGATATTTAGCTATCAAATCCGAGAATATAAACTGTATAAACTATACCTTTAGAACAATCCATAGTTCATCAATTGATTAAATTGTCGTAAATAAATTGGATTAGTTAGATTTTTTTATGAATTGATTGAATTAGTGAAATGGATTCTAATCGGAACTCTATAAGCTCTTCCGTCTTTTCTCTCTGTACTTTAGGTTAATTATAAAAAAGGCTTACAAAATTAATGTTTCTTTAACTATTTGGTGTATGGAACATGTGGAGAAGCACCACAGTTTTGGCCAGGCACTATAAAACCCAGACCTCCCTTTCATATCCAATCCAACATAACTCAGCTCAATCACACTTCCAAATCACAGAGAATAATCATATATTATATATATGGCGATCAAGACCCGAAGCATCTCGTCGGACGGGAAGCGGGAGATGACGTTGCAAGAGTTCAAGACGTGGTTAAGTACCATACATGAGCCTGTATAAAATCCAGCATAACCTTCTCCCAAGAATTCGAGTTATTGGGACCAACTGGTTTATGACATGGTATCATGGATTAGATTAAATGGACACTTGAATCATGGATTAGATTCGTAAACTTATGGATCCAAATGACATTTTATTTTAGGTACTAAAATATCATTCCAAAAAATTTAGATACAAAAACATAATTTTTTGTGTGTATTATTTGCTAAAAATTGATATTTAGCTATCAAATCCGAGAATATAAACTGTATAAACTATACCTTTAGAACAATCCATAGTTCATCAATTGATTAAATTGTCGTAAATAAATTGGATTAGTTAGATTTTTTTATGAATTGATTGAATTAGTGAAATGGATTCTAATCGGAACTCTATAAGCTCTTCCGTCTTTTCTCTCTGTACTTTAGGTTAATTATAAAAAAGGCTTACAAAATTAATGTTTCTTTAACTATTTGGTGTATGGAACATGTGGAGAAGCACCACAGTTTTGGCCAGGCACTATAAAACCCAGACCTCCCTTTCATATCCAATCCAACATAACTCAGCTCAATCACACTTCCAAATCACAGAGAATAATCATATATTATATATATGGCGATCAAGACCCGAAGCATCTCGTCGGACGGGAAGCGGGAGATGACGTTGCAAGAGTTCAAGACGTGGGTGAAGAGGCTGGACGCCGACAAAGACGGCAAGATCAGCAGGCAAGAGCTGTCCGACGCCGTCCGGGTCGCCGGCGGACGGTTCGCCTGGTTGAAGTGCCGGCGGGGAGTCCAAGCGGCCGACTCCGACGGCAACGGTTTCATCGACGAGCAGGAGATGAACAACCTCGTTGACTTCGCTCAGAAACACCTCGGTGTCAAAATCGTCCATTTCTGACCACTGGTCCAACCAAACCCAACCCCCTTTCGATCTGTTTCATACCCACGCTTGTCCTCTTCCTTTTTTCCTGATCATGTGTTGAATCCGAAATTCTAAACCTAGCTTATATATGATGTGGGTTAGATATTTAAGCGATTCGAATATGAAATCTTCTTACTAAAGATTGATGATGAGGTTATTAAATCAAACCCTTAGTTGTCTAGTCCCCGATGTATTATACCCTTTGGTTTGCATGAATGCAGTACTCTCGTGTATTATTGACTTATGATATATATATGTAATCGTGTTTTTAGTCAAATTTTGGATGTCACGGTTTTATATGTTTCGTCTCTTTCAAGCTGTTGCCATTCGAGCAATACAGTTAAGCCAAATACTCCATTTCAAATTTAACCTTCTGGAAAAAAAAAATTACGTACCCGATTTTATCATTTATAAAACATACGAAAAATCTATCTGAAACAATACGAAACTCAATTCTTCACATAATATCAACGGCTGGTACCAGTTTTAATTAGAAGAGTTAGGTGTCCAACGTTTTCCAATTTACCTTAACATATCAAGTATTAGTCCGCATATTGCACCTCTCTTATACATAACAAAACATTATCAAAAGAATGTGACACGACTCTGACAATAAGTGTCAAAAAAGTTTCCACGAAACTAATTAATTAGTTGCAATGAGATTAAAGACTGTTAAAAAGTTTCACTGTGATAAGTTTAGTTCATGCATATATTCGATAGGAAAAAGGTACATGGATATATATATCCTACTAATGGGTGTCCATTTGTTTTGAAAACTATATATCCGCATCTTTGGTTCTTATTTCCTCTTTTTGAAAAGTATGAGAATACTTATACAGTTATATTGAATGAAACAGCATTAGATTTCCTTCACTTTAACTTTTTATGTCTCAAGTTATAGTAGATGCGCGGTTCAGTTCACCAATAGAGGGCCAACATAACATAGTGATCAAATTACCGTATGTGATTATAAAATCACAATTTCGGAATCATAACAGTTTCTCTTATATATGTAGTTAAGGACTACGTGTATTTTAAGAGGGAATATAGCGTCACTTAACTTAATATTTAACAAGAGATTATAATATGTAGTTTTATCCAATAACATGTGGTTTCATCTAAAAATAATAAGGCAAAATACACTTGTATAGCCATAACTTTCACGTTTGTGACAAATATAGCCATAACTATCGGAAAACACGAAATAGCCAAAAATTGGATGGTAGTGTGACAAATCTAGCCATTTCCGTTAGAAACTTTAACGGTGTTAGAAACTCCGTCAGTTAGATTAACGTTAGACTGATTAGGACGCCAAATCATCGCACACGTCAGCGACACATCAGCCACATTTTCCACGTAAGTGCCACGTCATATTTTAATTTAAAAATAAATAAAATCATATATTATTTTTTCATTCTCTCTCCCCTCTCACCACTCGTCGTCGCCGTCATCAATTAGAGGAGACAATCTGCTCCCCAAACCAAACCCCAAATCCCTTTTTTTTTTGTTTGGTAGAAACCCAAATCCCTCTGCTCCATTGTTTTACATTTATCCTTCCTTTCCTTGCCCTACTGCTAACAAAAATCAATTGGTTGAGCTGCCCCAAAACCAAATCCTTTTGAGGAGGCCATCTGCTTCAATCCCTCTGCTCCACCTCCAATTCCAATTCCAAAAATCACTTTAGGGTTCCGAGAGACTTCAAAGGAACGGCGGTGCTGGATATCGAAGTGCTGCCCGCCGCCGATTGGAGGCTTCTTGTCGTCGTTTGGAAGTGCCCGGTCGCCGATTGAAGGCGTTCCTTCGCCGATTGAAATTTTCTTGCTGGTGGCGTTCCTCACCACGTCGCCGATTGAAAGGTTCCGGTCACCCAGATCTGTCGTTTGCTTCAGCAACCACCAAACCATATTTCACAGGCGTTAAACTTCTCCTCGTCGCGTCGACAAGTGACGGGGGAGGATCGCTTCGCAATGGCTCGACAGGAGCGGGTAGAGGTATTCGTGTAGCAATAATGGCGGTGGCCCAAAGAAAGGAGGAGGCGGAGGCGGATTTGTTCGAGATTGTGTTGGAGAGTGGCGGTGGAGAATCTCTCGACTCCTTGTTGTAGTTGTTGGTTGGTGTTTTTGAATACATAGGGAGGGTAGGGGTTCTTAGGTTTTTGGTTGGTTTCATTTTTCTGATTGCTGGGGAACACAACATGAAGCGGGAGGCGAGAGAAGGGCAAACAGAGCTAGACGAGGAAGAAGCCCCGCCACTGCAGATCTGACACCCGGGGAAGAGTTTGATGAATCTGTTGTCGGGAACTCGGACTTGGGTCTGGGCGCGGAGGCGGCGTCGAGTTTGGGTTTCAACCGTCGCCTTCTTTGTCTGTCGGCGGTGTGGATTGAGTTTGTGGGGGGAAGCGATGATCTGGAATTGAGAAGAGAGGGGAGGCGTTGTTCGTAGCGGAAGAGGAAAGAAGAGAGAGGGAGAGAGGAAGGTGACAACGGGGGAGGATCTGGGTTTGAATTGGGGAAGATGTACAGTAAAAGGAAGATGGGAGAAAGATGGGCGGTGGTATAAGGTCACTACGGGAAAAACTACTTCTTGCAACACTCGGATCGCAACACATTTAGAAAAGGTTGCGCTAAATACATAATGATAACACTTTTTTCTTTGGTTGCGTATTGTGCGGTTTTCGCAACCCAAATTAATATTATAAAATTATATGTTGCATTTCACTATTATATGCAACACATATGACACACATAATTTGTGGGTTACCTCTTTATATAATTTCGGCAACACTATCATAAATTATGTTGCAAAATACTACTATTTTACTATATTGTATGTTTTATGCAAATAACGATGTTTGATAAAAAATGAAAATGAAAAAGGTTATTAAATTAAAACTATAAGAGAAAGAGTTAAACTAACTTAAAAGGTTGAACTCATGATCCACATTCCCGAACTACCAAAATTCAGCAATAATTTTGTCATACCTCTCTTCCCAGTAAAGCATTCCCGCTCACAAAATTAGGTTTGCCGCCATATCCTCTGCTAAACATTTGAGATAGCAAAGTCTAGTCAAATTGATCTTAAGGATTCAGTGAGCATCAGACCCCGACGATGCAGCTTTCATTCTCAACCCCTCTCGTTTCCTCCCTCGTCTCGTCTGACATCGATTGTTGATATCGTCGACGGCGAATTTGGTACAGTAGGTTCGATCTCCTCCCCCTACTCTTTTGTTTTGTTGTTTGGCTTTCGCGTTTGAAGCTTACATTAAGGCATGGAATTTATAAATCTCATTGTTTCTAATATACCTTTCTGGGAAAGCTAAGTAGGTTTGAAGCTTACATTAAGGCCAAATTTATAAATCTCTTGAGGAAATTGTACCTATAAGCGAAGCTTACATTGAGATGAGAGCAGCTTGTTAATCCAATTGTTTCTTTCTGATTTACCTGTGAGAGTTGCTGAAAATTGTTGCTGTTTTGATATCAACTAATGATCCTCTCGGTTCCACCTTTGCTTTAGTTTTTGTGGGAACTCAAAGTCATGAGAGACTTCAAGGTAATTAATTTAGGCATTCGAATCATTAGCTGATGGGGGTTAGCTTCTAAGATCCATGTTCTGGTTCTTTTTAAAAGTCCCCGAGGACTAGGAAGTCGAATTACCACCGAAATATGCTTTCCCACAATTCTATTAGTTGAGTTCGATGCATTCGCCTTTCCCCCAGCCAGGGGAGAGGAACATTATTTTCTCTGTCTCAAGTGACGAGTTTTCTTTTTATTTTTCAATGAATCATTCTTCCATTGTTGTTCAATAGAAACTAAGAAGGGTACTCACCTATTAAGGTCCGCAAGTGGTAGTTGGAACTCTTGCAGTTGCAGTCGATTTTGTTGCTGTCTTGTTAGCCATGTTAGATTTTGACTTCCAATCATCTTTGGGCACATTATGGGAGCCTCAAGCTTTTGGTTGCCCCAAATTTGTTGGTGGTAAGGGGCAGCAGTAAACTATGTTATTGTCCCAGCTGCAATATATGATGTGAAACGCATATATATGAACCTTTGTTGAGCAAGAGGTTACTAAATCAGACTTTTTGCAGGTCACTGACTCCACCTTCATACCCTACAAACTCCTACTTGTATGGGTTGTTAATCTTTCATTGTTGGATCTGCATTTTCTATGTATGTGAAAGCATAGGCCTTTTTAAGCGTGGGAGCAGTTTGAGATTTGGATTTCTCTGATTTTTATTCTCTTTGTCATTTTTTTTTTTGTTTATTCATCAACTCATCTAAATGCTTCAGCTCTCCCAGCTTCATTTGTACATGCATCAGTAAATTTTGGACAATATTTTAATTAAATCTTGTCAAATCTTTTGATGAACTTCAGTTCGCCAAGCCACAGGAGTGGTGAAATGTTTTGCTTTCAAATCTTCATTTCTCTATAGTGAATGCTGGAAAAGTTGGTTCCTTATTGAGTTTTTAACATATGCATATGGAGAGTGGAAAAGCTTACAGGTTTGGATCTATGAGTTTTTAACAGAAGATATATCTAGTTTGTATTACAAACAGTTCATCCTATCCAATATGAGTATTCTATTTGTTGAACTTGATTGAACTTTAGTTTTATGTTGAGATCATATATCTTGTTTATAGTATGGACAGTTTACTATGTCAAGTTATAAGTATATTCAGGAAATTTATTCTTGAGTGGAGAAGAAGTAAGTCATATTGCTTCTTACCTTGTATATATTAACAACCCTTGCTGCAATAACAGATGCCATGCACAAAGCCTAGAATGCAGCAGTTTGGCTGTATTGGCATGTGAAGTTGGTGGAGAGCATAATGTGCTGTTGCTATTCACTGCAGTTTCCCCAGCAACGTAGCAGATCGATCTGCAATTTTTTACTTATATGTTCCCAATTGCCCTTTTTATAATTTTTACCAGTCCCCTGTTATTAGTCCTCTATTATCTATTATGTTTGTATAGTAATTTAGACAATTTTAAGTGCTATAAGGTAGCTTCTATATGTTCTTCTAAGGAACCACATATGTTAAATGTGATGTTAGTTTAGTTATAGTAAACTCATTCCCTAGTTTGGCTGTTCAGTGCGTCTTTGTTTCCCCTGTTTATGAATGTTGATTCATTTTGAGTTCTCAAGGCAACCACTTCACATGAACGCATCACCAAACTTTAGCTTTGGAGTCATCAAAGGAATAAATTCATATATTCTATTAAAATGTAGATGTCTCGAACAATTTTAATTCAGATTAACCATTTGTTTGGAACGAATCTCGAAGCAATCAAAATACAACTAGATCCAAGTAATTTGCCCGATAAATCCGACCAGCAACCCTCCCGTAACTTGATTTGACTAAAAGCAATGACCTGTAATCGGAGTGATTCGTAACCCCATCACCCCGCAATCTAACCGACTCGTGACCCGACTAACAGGTAACCCAACTAACCCTTAACCGGACTAACCCAACCCGAACCTGTCCGCTTAACCCGAAGTGATATGAAAATTATTTGTGAAAGTCATCAATGGAGCCTTATTATTATGCTTGAAGCATTGGTACTTCCAGGTAGAAGTTGAATCTGTACAATAAAATTAAAGATACAAGTTGAGTTTGTATCATAATGATTTTGTACGGAAAGATATAAAGTACAACTGTACAAGTTAAATTTGTATCATATCGTTAAAAGTACAAGTTCTGTTTATATCATAATTTTTTTTACGGAAAGGTTAGCTACAGTTGAATTTATATCATATTGATAAAGATATAAGTTCAGTTTCTACTATAAATATTTTTGTACAAAAGACATAGGTACAATATGGGGCGAGACGGGTCAATACCCATGTCCCGCCCCACGCTACTACAAGTCAGGGCGAGTAATAACTGTGCGGGTATGGGGCGAGACGGGTCGACCTACTCTTACATGTTATTTGAAACAAATCGCGCAAAATTGTACTTTTTACGATAACCTTTATGAATGAAAAATGGTGATAGTAGAATGAGTAACTAAATATAAGTAGTTGAACGATCGAGTCTAACTAGTTGAACAAATGTGCAAATAGCGAAATATGAATAGATACTATAAGAAATTGAGATATAATGGGTCAAGAACGAGTCGGGTTAGGATCAGCTGGAACTCGGAAGTAGATACACATGCCACATCTCACGCTACTGCAGGTCGTTTAATACCCGCCCCATCGTGTGTCAGGTCGGGTTATACCCGACAGGATGGGTTCAAATTGCAATCACTAAAGTACACTCGGATTAGTTAACTTTCAATAATAATTAACTTAGATTTGTTTCAAATTAAGGAAAATGACATCTAAATATAATAAATGTAGGCGGGAAAACTTCAAAACTAGATATTTCGAATAGCAAAAAACTAGGGATTTCATATCACAAGGGTTCAAAGGTAATTAAAATTTATTAACATTTGAGATATTCTTTAACCATAAATTGGATATAAAAATCGTGCACCCTTTCATCTCTTCATATTTTTAGGGTTTTCCATCGTTTATGCGCAGCGGTGCTATCCTGCCTCCAGCTTCCATTCCATGGCGTCTTCTTCCCTTCCATTCTCTTTCCAGATCTTTCACAATCAATTGCACTTTGAAGTCGATATAACGGCAACGATCGTCGATTTGCGTAGAGCTCTCTACTATGCAATGTCGCAACTCTCTTTATATTCTATATTTTGTGTTTATGATATCTGATTGCGTTGCAAATTGATTCATCTCCTGCCTTTGTCCATTCAATTTAATTTGGTTACTGGCTGCTTCCTTTTTTTTCCTAAATTCGGTGTCGAACTTATTTGTTTATTTTTCTGATTTCAGCCGCTGCCAAGGTACCGAGCAAGCAACCCAAGGATGATTTTTCTTTTTTGATGGGTAGCAAGCAAACCAATGATGATTAAAAGCTCGCAGCTTTTACTTCAGATAGCTGTATAGAACTTCCCAAGTTATATGTATTTGTTCTTTTTTTAGTTATATATGTATGGATTTGATGACTATGTAATTGATGAATTTTTGTAATATCTTAATGCATCATCACTGTATAGGATTTGATGAAACATATAATAACTTGTGTGATGAAAATATGGTCACTAATGAAGGCAATATGTAATGTCCTTGTTGGCAACTTTTGTCACCAAAAGAGACAAATGCAACAATTTTTTTTTGTCACAGGAGAAAATCGTTTGTGATATAATTCAATTCATCATTGATGTTTCATTTACTAATGACCATAGTTGTCACCAATCGAAGATTTCGTGATGAAATGTTGGTCACCAATTGTTGCACGATGGGATACTTCGTCTCTTTCTGTGATGAAAAACTTGTCATAAAATGATTCTATTGTGACAACCATATAGTCATATAAGTATATTATAAGTGACAATCCAAATTTGTCACATATTGGGTATCATATGTGACAATATGATTCGTCACAACTAGTGAATTCAGTGACAACCGAACCAAGTCCTACATCATATCTCAAATTTTGAAAAGAGTATTTGTGACAGAATTATTGTCATACATGACAATTATTTGTGACGACTATAAATGTCATCGTTGTTGTTTTAATTTCTGTTCTAGCTCGACACAAATAGGATCTTTAGTGACCATAACATTGTCACGCAAAAATTAGTAATTGTTACTAACAAATTTGTCACAATTGGCCTGTCATTGGTGACTATTTAGACTCGTCACAGATAAAATTAAGAAGTTGCCAAAACTTGTAAAAACGGTGGCCAATTTTCTTAAAATGTGTTGCAAAATTTTTAATGTGTTGCCTAAAGTGGTGTTGCAAGAGGGGCAAGGATACGCAACCCTTTTTATTTTGGTTGCAGAAAATGATAAAACAGTTGCCTATACTTTTTGCAACCCCTACTATATGCAACCCTAGTAAAAGTGTTGCGTCAGGATGTTGCAACTCTTTTAAGACTTTACGCAACACATTTTAGGAGTTGCAAGAGGTCTTTTTTCCCGTAGTGGGTTGTAATTTTTTTTTAACTAAATTATTAGATAAATAAGGATTTTTTATATTATAATTTTTTTTAATCCACATCGGCTTGGTGGGGATCATAAATCGCCAACTCAGCATATTCCGTCAGTACAGTCAGATTGTTAAGTAACACCGTTAAAGAGATGGACGGAATAGGCTATTTTTGGTTTTCGAATAATTATGGCTATATTTGTCACAAACGTGAAAGTTATGGCTATACAAGTGTATTTTGCCAAATAATAATTATAACTTCTTAAATCTATCTCTTCGTACCCTACATCCTGATATCATTGTTGTAGAGTCATTTTTTAAAATGACACCATTATTTCATTGTTATTTTTGTTGTTATTTTTTTTTAAACCAAAGGTAGCTTGCATTACCAAGACAAATAAATCAAACGTTTACATCTCCATACGGAGCCAAGCGCAAAAATTAAAGCCTTTCTTGCCACCAAGTGGGCAACTCTGTTGTTTTGTCTACCAACGAACCGAACTAGCAAACCAGGGTACATAAGTCGGAATGCCTTCATCTCCCTCTTATCTTTGTTGTTATCATTGTGATTATTAGTGGAATTTAATTAAAAATACGATAAATATATTTGTATGGCCTAAACTTTGCATATAATAAACATACTGGTCAATCTTTTCTATCTATAACATCCTGGCCCAAACTATACATCAAAGTAACAAAATTGGCCAAGCCCGATGTTTGCCTGTTATCTTGGATGGTCAAACGCGTTGACTAACGATCAACGCGCCACGTCACTGCCAAATGAGCAACTTTCACTTACAAATTTTTTATATTTTCCACCTGATACCATTTTTCTTGGTTCAAAATGAAATTAATTTTTTTTCTTCTTCGTTTGGTTCAAAATGAAAAATTAAAACCCTAACTCTCGTCATCATAATCAGATCAATCCTGAGAGTGTGAACTCTTCGTGGAGTAGTCCCGTTCACATCAAACGGCGAAACCAGGTAAATAAATCTCGCTGTGTTCACTCTTTTATTTACGTTTTCCTCATAGTGATGTATATGTGCCACATTAATTTTGAAAAACACTCACAGTCACAGCACTGACAAAATCAAATCATTTTTTTTTTTTTGGAAAGTATGAGAATATGTTGGAAGAAAACAGTATTAGATTTCCTTTCACTTTTAACTTCCATGTGTAAGTAACTGATGGTATTGGTACACCACAAAAAGCCTTTTATTTTGGTGGCCACTGATACAACTATGCGACACATAAATCTTCCTCTACCATGGATTTGCCGCGAATATTAACGATGGTTAAGAAATTAAAGACAACCTTTCGAGTACTTCAATGGTGTCTCGTCACTAAAAACAGAATTTATTCTGGTGAAGTAGCATTAATTCCAAGGACAACGAATTTGGATGACCAAATTTTAATTTTAATTATAAATAAGAGACCCCTCCTAGCATCAAGTACTCCCTTCTACATCGTACGATCATCCAGAGCTCCAACAAATTACAAAGTCCGGTGAAAAATATTTTATCACATACATAACATGGCGATCAAGACGAAGAACATCTCGCCGGACGGGAAGCGGCAGATGACGATGCAGCAGTTCACGGCGTGGCTGGGGAGGTTCGACGCCGACAAAGACGGCAAGATCAGCAGGCAAGAGCTGGCCGACGCCGTCCGTGGCGCCGGCGGGAGGTTCGCGTGGTGGAAGTGCCGGCAGGGGCTCCGTTCGGCCGACTCCGACGGCAGCGGCTACATCGACGCGAACGAGATCGGCAACCTCGTGGAGTTCGCGCAGAAGCACCTCGGGGTGAAAATCGTCGGTTTCTGAATTAACGGGCCCGTCTTTTCTTCTATGGGCCGGCCCACGACGTGGTCCGAGCCAAAGGTTCGAACTTATGATGTGTTTACGTGCGGATTATGGGTGCCTCTTGGATCATTATGGTGTGTATTTGAAAGAGGGTAAGTACGATGTGTGTAAGTATATACTTATCCCAGTAATAAAAACAATTTCCTGGCTGCAGTTTGAATGGCCTGGCTGTAATGGAAATTGATTTAAAAATATATATATATATATATATATATATATAATTAGTCGTTGAAATTATGCGAGTGGTGGGAAACATAATTATTAGTTGAAATATATATGTATAATAATCGGTATAAAGTATAAGCATAGACACACTGTTTGGAACTCTAATATTTGATTGTATGAGGAAAATTGAAAAATGAAGTTTTATTGAAAATACTGCCATACTTTTACTCCATAAATCTCTCTTTTGTCCATTTTTAGTTTTGGTAATAAAAGTGGGGGAAAATCACTGACAAAAACAATATTCGTCACCTCATCAAAAAAGATAAGATGATTACATCATTCTTAATACCTGCATTTGGCTACAAAATTTTGGAGAAAAAAATGGCATACTTTGCCAGATACATATGATTCCATACTTAGAATTCATAGTTCCAAACATTATTTGGCAAAAGAGTGCAAGTCTGCTTCCAAACCTTTGAGGTCGTGCAGAATTTGAGGATCAAATTGGAGCGGCCTTTGAAGAGAAACACTACATTTATATTGTTTTATTTTTTCCATTTTTCTGAAAGTTATAACCCTACTCCCATGAGGTTCTCTGCCAACAATATGCCTAAGACACTCATGGTATTATCGATGTATATACAATTTACCTTGTACAAAATTACACTTTCTTGGCCAGAAAGTAACTATACATATGTTACATTTGCCTTCCATAGAAATGAATGAATTCACTGCCAAAACCGATCAATCGCCCCCGTGTGTAGCTATGAAGAGCGCCACATCAGCTATGCAATCCTTGTGCTGTCAGGATAATGTCAATCAACCAATTTGAGTAATCCATTGATGAAATTGAACACAAAGAGTTATGTGATTTGTTAAATAGGATCACAAAGAAAGGCAAAAAGGAGGGTAGTCCTCACCTACAAGAACCCTGAAACAAGCACAAAATGATTTTTCTCTCTCTTTGCAGTGAAAGTTAAGAACTTTAATGCTCTTTCACAATTTTTGTCTTTTTTTCGATTCTCCATCATGGTTCAAGTATGGGAGCCAAGAGGCGACAATCTCCAGTAGTTCCATGAGTTGAAATCCTCCTATATCAGGGGCGGAGGAAAAAGAACACGAGAACTGGTTTAGAACCCGCGCTATTAGTTAATAAGAGAAAGAAAAGTAGAAAAGAGAAAGAGGATTTGAACCTGCTCCTTAACCGTCACCGGGTGGGGGAACATTTCATCGACGAGATCATGAAGGGAAGTGTAAGATTTTGTGTCAACCCGACGATGAACAGAAACCTCGCCCTGTAAATAAAAGCCATCGTTGGTGTACCATACAATACAAAAAAAAAAGTTGGAAACTTTGAAATGTGTCAATAAAAAACTTTTAAGGAGTTAACCTTTGGATTGATGATGAATATTTTCCCCCTTGGAATCCCGACTTTGAGGTAGCTAAGCTCATCGGTGTCTCTATTTCCGAATCCAGCGTAGAACGGGCTGTGATCTGAAGGAAATAATGCCTTGATGTCCTGGAAATCTCAGAGAAGATACAAGTTCAATAGGTGTTGGAAATGGTGAAATGATAAGGTAGCAGAGCTATTACCTCTAAACAAGAAATCTTGAATTCGTGAGGTGCCCTCCTAATGACTGGGGAATGATTGTTTAAGTTAACTTTTAAACATTGCACAACAAAGGAGAAATCTTGACATGAATGATTTATTATAACATTACATAGGGATTATTGAATTACCTTCACGATACAAAGAAGGAAAGAGTCCATCTGGGGATATAACAACAGGACCTTCTGGTAAAGCAGTCCCATCCTACAAATTAGAAAAGAAGAAATGCTACATTTGAGAAATTATTTGTTCACAAAATGTCGTCCAATTTTAGTAGCGTTGAATTTCCAATAATTCTTCTCACCTGAGTTAGGTTGAATAGAAACTGTCTAGTATGATATGCTTGAGAAATCGATCTTGCACTGAGAAATAGTAGTTTGTACCCATTGTCCTGCAAAACCTCAGGGAAAAATGTAGTTTGTACCTATGATGAGAAACAATGTTGAAACATAAAATCTACACATGTTCAATCTTGAGAGTTTCAAATCCAAAGATGAATAACAACGTCCTCAAATTGCCAATTATAAAACAAAATCACCATTTTTTGCTCTGAAAGGAGATGTGGACCAAGTAAATATCATTGTGTCACTCATACATATTGATCTCGAACATTACACAAAGACAAAAAAAAAGCAAAGGAACAAACCTTAATAGCTGAAAATAGTCGGGTAACCCCAGTTTGTGACCAATCATAACCAACCAACGGCATGAATTGACCGAGCACATCTGATCTGCAATAAGCATTAGAAAAGATCGAGAGAGTTTAATGCAAATAAAAGACTGACAGCGTATTATGAGTCGTTTCCATAGAGCCCTTTCATGGTAACACCAAACTTTAAGCACCGATAACATAGTAATGATAGAGATTAAACTGACAGTTGGAGGCTCTCGTTATGTTATCTCTTATGATGCCTATTTCAAAAAGCATTGTCATGACTGTCTTTAATGATCTAATGGGACCAGCTCATGCAAATCAAAAACCTTAAGTGGTATGCACTATGCAATGATAGAATTATTAAACTACAAATGATATCAATAAACACATACTTAGTAATTGTCCCGTCAACGTCCGAGATTACTATGCGATCGTCAAATTTCCATCTAAAAATCCTTGCATCAACCTGTTAGTGACGTAACAAGGAAAAAAATTGTTTTGAGAAAGAGAGTAAATTGAAAGGTTGTGTTCTAACTACAAAAAGAAATGTTAAATACGCTCTTTGAAGAGACAATCAATAACCAACCGTTTGTTTCCCCAACATTGACGTTGAGAAAGTGAATGTCACCACATTTGCTCCCTCGTTAAGATTTAAGGATGCCAATTGTTGAGATGTTGGAGTGGGTGCCCTTATCTTCTTTTTTCTAACATTTGTTGCAACCTCATTTCCTTCTCTTCCACTCTTGTTGTCAATGTCTGAAGTAATGTCAGGCCTCCCATTTTGAGACATTACACCATCGACTTTATCATTTGATGCCTTCTGAGAAATCTTGCTATCAACATTACTATCCGAAGAACTCTCCGACCTCCCATTCTCAGTCTTACTGTCTGATGCATTTTGGGACATTATGTTGTCAGCTTTACTATCTGAACAATTCTCTGACTTTGCATTGTCATTCTTACTATCTGAAGCATTTTGGGAAATCATGTCAGTTTTACTATCTGAACCATTCTCTGGCTTCACGTTGTCGGTCTTACTGTCTAACTTGGTGGTCTTCTTAAGTTTTGATTTCTTTGAAGAAAATGGCCAAAATTTCCAACTTGTGTGAGCATTTGCCGGAGATTGTGATGCATTCCCTATAAGAGACATAAAATTAGTCAATGGGGTTCATGGTAAAACTCATAGTCAAATCATAAGATTGAAAATCACATACTAATGAGACCAATAGCATAACACAACTACTAAGTTATTCAATAGGTAGGACTCCAACAAGTATACTAAAATCTATGTTGAGCTGTAGAGACAAGAAGGTTTGGGAATTTTATCAATAAAGATATATAATTTGGGAATATATATGTAGGTATGATAAGTCTCTTACCAACCAGAGGATTTGCCTCTCTAGAATGGGGATTCTCTTGCTCTAACCCTTCCTTGTTTTTATCCACATTTAAACAACCTAAATCATCATTCCCAGGACCTTTCTGGCGAGATATGGAATTTGATTCCAACGAATGGCTTAAAGGATTATGGATGCCATTGGAATCACATATCTCAAGTTCTGAACATGCACTTGGTAATGATTCAACTAGGCGACCACCGCCTTCCTGCTCAGCAATATAATGAACATTAGATATATCAATGGGAGTAGAGGCTTTTGTCGAATCGCCCATTGGATTCCCAAGCTCAATTACTTGATTCTCTTGATCAAAATGGTCGGCAGATGAAGGTGGTTCATTGATTCCATCAAATTGCTTATTTAAACCATTTCCTGTAAACTGAGTCTCTCTAAAATTTAATTCATCAAGATCACTGAAGTGGAACTGTTCACCTTCTGAACACTCTGAGGCTGGAAAACTAACCAATTTGGTCATGCAACATCCGGTTGGTTGTTTGGGTTCATTAATGGACTTCATTGAAGGTTGGAACACGTTGCAACTGCGTAGTTGAGCATGTGATGAAATTTGTTGCTCAGAAACAATATCACAGGAAGCCTTTTCACTTCCTGACTCATACTTAGTTTCCTCAGTTTCTTGGCTAACCATCTCCCCATGACGAATCTCTATCACCTAGTATTAACCAATGAGTTACCAAGTATGTAAGAGACAGAGTAAGGAAAATCGATAAGATGAAACTGGTTAGAGTCCACAAACATACCATCATAGCCTCTAGTGAATTGTACAACTTTATTTTCCTTTATCTTTCTTCTTTTGTTTTTTCCAATCTTAATGAAGTAATCAAGGACTAGACAAGATATTCAAACGTAAAGCCTTAAACTCAACACATATATAACTAGCAAACTGAGGAGAATAATATTCAGTAGTTATACAACTTCTGAGCTTACCAAACACCTTGCTCACATGACAAAGCTCACCAAATTCAATGTCATGGCTTCGTACATCTAAAGCACTATGACACTTATAGAATCCTTCTGTCCAGAGGCATGTATGCCAGTTTTTTTTCTTTAGCTTCCGAGCAACCCTAAGTCTTCTATTTTAGAACTTATATAAGATGAGCAAAGGAGCCAACTAATTCAACATCTAAAGTTTGTGGCTGGACTGACGACTAATTTGGTAAACATGCTTAGTGTATGGAATTTTAGACTCAAACTTGTGGGCATCATTTATCAAGTTATTCAAAATGACACTTTCTTAGAAAATTCAAAAGTTTGGTTGAAATTGAAAATAAGAACTCTGTTAATCCAAAATCTCACCTCAGGTAGCTGTTCAGACACCATATCCACAGCCTTAGCAAGCAAATTTGATTCATCGCGTCCTCCACTAGCAATGCATATTGTCTCAACTGTTTCTTCACTAGAACTCTTCGATCTCACAAACGAGCTCTCTGATGTCCCACAATAGGTAATGGATTGGACTTTGTTGCATTCTGAAACAGATTTTGATGATCCTGGCCCTGAAACTGTTGAATTGGGATTTCCAGCTTCAGACATAACATCATCAACATCACCACCTTTGAGACCAACGTTTGTAACGCTATATTCATCCACATTTTGAGGCATTTCTAGTACAATTTGAGCGAAAGTTTCAACAACTTGTCCATTGTTATCTACACTTACTTTATCTACAAAAGCTTCCTTATACACATGCTGCTGAGAGCTATTTTCTTTAGCCAAACTGCTTTCACCATGGTTAACAACAGACAACGATGTTGTCTTGTTCCCTTCATTAGTTCTATCATTGGTTGGGTCAGGAGGGGAAAGACTAGTGGACCATCTGACTTCCAACAGATCAGCAGCCATCTCAGCACGCTCTAGTGAACTCACCCTCGTATGGCCATGACCTTGCTGAAAACCATCTCCTCCTCCTTTCATTGCCCTCCTACCGAAAACAATCCCCATAATCCTTGGTCCTCCTGAACGAGCTCTCAGCATGAACTTCTCATTGCTCTCTGTGGCGAAGTCTGGTGAATCCAAACTACTATGATCAAAATCCAGACTCTGTGCGTGCCTCTGACGCCATCCATGCTGCCTATCGGGGTGACGACCGTTACTATACATTGAACAAGAATCATCATCTTCATCTTCATCTTCATCCCTAATAAAGAAAGCTTCACCTCTTTGATCAAGGTACATGTTGAAATCTACATCGACTCCATTGACGTTGATGCTTACTATCTTTTCTTTTGCCTTAAGAACACCTTGGAATTTGCCAAATCTAACGTACCAAGGTGAAGACTTGAAGCTGCCATCAGCTTGCTCTACCACAACTATGTCCACAGCCCCACCAAATGGATGGAAAGGGCCGGAGACGGTTGAGACTCCCTTGGTGATATAGCTCCCTATTCGCCCCACCGCATACATCTTGAGAAAATAGAATTTCTTTGAGATTAACCCAGATCAAAAAATTCTCAAACTTTCAACCATTAAAGGCTTCTTTGGTGATGTCGCTTGAGGAAAAAATTGAAACCTCCACAACGAACTACAACTCATTAAACGAGCGAGATAACATCTGCGAGAGTCTCATAGTAGAGAAATCCAATTCGGGATAAGTCAAAATTCACAAACTTTCGTTCCCATTTACTAGAAAAGAAGGAAACACATCAAACCCAGGACCCCAAAATCAAGACAAGAGAAGTAAAAAAGAAATGGTTGCTTCAACAAAGGTGTTTTCTTCCTTGCTTGCACAATTAAAAATTGCACATTGCTAATCTCCCCTCGACATTAAGAAGAGCAACTTGATAGTCGAGGGGATCAATTTGAAGAAGCATGTGGTTTTGTATAATATTCGTATTCGAAATGTGCCACAATGATCATATAATTCTACATGAAGATAAAAACTTGAGCGAGAGAAAGATGACGATGACCCATATTGTCAGCATCAAGACATTTTTTATTGAACTTTTTAAAGCGTATGTAATCACGATGCAAGATGGCAATTAATTAGGATTATGAATGATACATTGCGAGATGCAGATGGAGATGAAGATTGGAAAAGGAGGCATCAACTACCTTTAGTGTCGCCGTCGTCAGATTCCGGCAAGAGAATAAAATAAAAAGGGCCCTTGGAGAGACCAGGGCCCAAGGCAAATTAAAACTTGATTTTACTTTTCTTTTATTTGTTATTATTTTGGGTCTCAAAGTTCTTGCCTTTTCTCTTTTAGTCTTCCTATTCTTCCATGTAAAAGGTCGAAAACCCTTGAAACTGTTGGTGGCTGAATGCTGACAAGCATGCAGCCATGGAAGGGGAAGAGGCGAGAGAATTGAGACCTTCAGAGCCAAACCCTTCCTAAAACCAAATCCGAAAAAAAGAAAGAGAAAAAGGAAGATTTGTTTTCTCCCTTTTGGTTTCTTCAAGTGCCACAAGATTGAATGTGTTTTGAGTAGGTAATGGGAGGGAGGACTTTTTGGAAAAACCATTTCAGTTCCCTGAATTCTTGCCGAAGGTTGGGGCTCTCTCCTGAATTAATGGCCACCAGTCAGAGTACGTGTCATCATGTATCACATTTTCTATTCATAATAGGAAACATGGATCATGAATATGGTCTTTTGTCACTTTTTTTCTTTATTAAATATCTTCTTTGTTTTCCACCATTGGCATTGTTAGCAATAGATTTTATGCTTGCATTTCACGCAAAAATTCTAGCAAATCTACAAAAATTCTCGTTTAGCATTGATTAGTCTGTGAAATAATTTTTATGATTCATGTAGTTGCATTTTTTTGCTTCTCCTTCTTGTTTCAACTTGAAGCTCATTCCTAAAACAAAACCTTGACCTGATGATGATGATAAGGTTGAAATCCAATTAAATTATGCTATTCACCTGTCCCTTTTTTGTCATTACGACCACTCTATTAAAGAGGAATGAAATCAATCACAAGTTTACAAGTAAAACCCATAAATATTTGAACTAAGACACAAATTCGAAGTGCGCTAAATTGTGCGGTGACAAAAGCAGAGCTTTGCGAGTTACCAAATGAGATACTATGTTATTCTGACGACCAACAAACTGAATCACACACCCCTGAAGTTGGGACAACATGAACGGGACTTCTTGTGGCAGGGAACCAATCTATGCATCATCCACCACCCTTGCACTTGTCAATCAAGACCTTAGCATCCCAAATCAACACAATGGAAGAGAACCCCCTGCGACCGCATTTCGAAAGACAATCTCTCAAAGTCAAGGCTTCAAGGACATAAGCATCAACCATTCCTTAATATAAAATAGCAATAGCCACTAGCGGAGAAGCCTAAGCATCATGATAGGCGAAGGCTGCAACTCCTCAAATGCCAGATTCGGCACTCCTAGTTGACATGTGGAAAGAAGCAAACATATGTTAACCACCTGGAGTAGTTAGAAGTTGAGGAGGGATAACGACTGAAATGGATTGAGGAAGAATTGAACGGCCTCTGCAACAATGCTTGCTCCACCTCTCGGACCTGATGACACCATAAGGACACAAGGATCGATGGGAGAAGTTGTTGATGTTCAAAGACAACACCACACTGATTTTTCCAAATACGCCAAAACATGCATACCACTTGTAGAAGATGATAGTCTATTTCGGGGCCCGCAGGTAGCTTGAACAATTTTCGTACACAGCCAATGAATGTACGCTTCTCCCAACTCTGCAAATGAATCACAAAGCCCACCATACAACATAATCTGCGAGCAAAAGGACAAGAAGAAGAGATGTTCCGAGGTTTCTTTTTTCTTGCCACACACAAGACGAACAGGTAAAATGTCTATCCCCCGAATAAATAAAGCCTCTCGAGTCGGTAAAATTTGATGAAAGCATTGCCATATAAGGAAAATGAGTTTGGGAGGCAACAATCTCATCCACAATCAGATCCATGGGAAATGATCAACAAAATCCACCCTCACTTTACTCCCCGATTTGTGCTGAAGTTGAAAGGCAAGATGATACGCATATTTAACTGAGAAAATCCCCATAGCCTCATAATGCCATACCCATCGATCAACCACTGGGTGCACCGAGAGAGGGATACTTTGAATTAAATCCACTGAGGAAGGGATGAAAAAATGATTCACAGCAACCATGTTCCATAGCCTTGTACCTGAATCAATCAAAGCAGACACAAACAGGGCAGTTGTCGACGGGGGAGAAGTAGGAAGCCAGCGATCGATTTTAGCTTGAATGGAAAGGCCATCACCAACTTGATATCGCAGTCCTTGAAGCAACAAATCTCGTCCATAACGAATGCTCCTCCAACCCCACGATGTATTATAGCCCAAACTAGCCTATAAAAAATTCTCGAGTCGGCAAAGTGCTTTTCTCAAAGAACTCTTGCTAGTAATGAAGTAGGCTCCATCAAAACATGCCATGCCACTTTAGCTAGTAATGACTGGTTGAAGCATTCGAAATACCGGAAACCCAAACCGCCTTCAAACTTACTGACACATAATGATTTCCACGCAATCCAATGAATATATACGCCGCCGAGTTAGAGTTGCACCCCCGCCAAAAGCGAGCCATATGGGCATTCAAACGGCGACACAACTCTTCGGGATATAAAAGCAAGACATTATATAGACCGAAGAGTTGTTACATCTCGATCTTGACAAAAGTCAAAATGACTATTATACCCTTGGTGAAATTTGTCAAATTCCATCGTATTATCAACGAGGACTAAAAATGCGAACTTTGAGTTCAAACGGTGCCGAGTTTCGACATAAATTGAGTAAGTTACTGATGTTAGTTGAGTTTCGGATTAAACTCACCCGTAATTTATGAAATGTCCAAAATACCCCTTGAGCTAATTAAAACTAAGGCTAACCCTAAATCTCATTACCCACTCGGCATCACCAAAGCAAACCCTAAATCGTCTCCTCTCTATATCCCCTCGTGCAACCGTTCTTCCCGGGACTTGATCGATTCTCTACTAATGAGACTTGCCCGCGTGCTTCTCTACTACGAGACTAGGCTTGAGCAGGAGACGGTGAAGTAATTAGCCGGCGCGGGCAAGCTTAAGTAGAGAGGTTCCTGCTTGTTTGATGGTCCGGGGCGTCAAAGGGATCCCTCTGTGGCAGACCTCATGTTTGCTTTCCCGAACCCACAAGGTGCCTGCTTGTTTGATGGTCCGGGGCGTCAAAGGGATCCCTAAGCTTTCCCGAACCCAAGGGCATTAAGGTACTGACTTATCGTTCTCGGTGAAGGAATCGGAGCTGCTATATAATCAGCATCTTACTCTTTAACGGCAACCTCAGCAACGAGAAGTTTTCTTCCCCCTCTCCGCATAAACTGCTCCTGCCGATCTCTACCGTACGGAAATTCCAAGAGTTGAGACCTGGATTTAGTAGGATACGGCGAAGTAACTATAGGGCGCGGGACAGGCTTAAGTAGAGAGGTGCCTGATGGTTTGGGGCGTCAACGGGATACCTATGTGGTAGACCGCATGCTTGCTTTCCTAGACCCACCTGCGGAGAGGACCTCTCTACCATTAGAGGTGCCTGCTTGTTTGATGGTCCGGGGAGTCTGACTATCTACTCTGAGATCTGCCAGCGGATGGACCAGCCAGCTTGCGATAAAGGAGCAGTTAGCTTGCGATGATGCCAGCTTTGCGATGGTCTCTCGGGTGCCTTACGTGAGGAAGGGATTAACTAGCTGCTACTGATCCGCGTTTTATTCTGTGGCAACGACCATATTTCTAAAGAACCTCGTCACTTGCGATGATGGACCAGGTAGCTTGTGATAATGGAGCAAGAAGCTTGCGAGGATGGACTAGCTAACTTGAGCAACTAGAATCAATCAATCACTCCCTCAGCTCCTTGTCGTGACCTCTGCGGGGCAATGGCGACAGCTGCCTGCTTGGGGGGAGCAACCACCATACGGGCAGACGGGAAGCAACCACGTCCCTCTATTCTCTCGTAGGCGTCTTTTCAGTTTATGCTTTACGTTCAAGTTATTATTTAGTTAATTTTCTAGTATGAGCGATATGTGTGTGAGACATCCCACCGCCTATAAAGGTGGAGGCACGCGTTGTGCTATGTATGAATGTATGATTGTAATAGTTGGTTGATGGTAAGATGAACCCCCGGGCGGTTAGATGGTCAGATCACTGCTGGACGGCGAGACGTAACGCACTAGTTAACCGGGCATGGACTGGATGGCGAGACGTAACGCAGTGCCATTGTCGAGCTAGGTATGCAACCGAACGGCGAGACGTAACACGGTTGGCATACTAGAGTAGAGACACCGGACGGCGATGTGTAACGCGGTGGTCCCTAGTGTTTTGGTGTCTATGGATTAAGGATAGAAGTAGAGAACTTCAATAAGATAAGATAGGAGTAAAGATCTCTTATAGACTGCTTTGAGAATGATTATTTAAGGGAAGAAGGCAAAAACGACTTTCGTGCTAGGAAGGAAATTTTCTAATAACGTTTTAGTAAGGTTTGCTTAGGCAAAGACCTTAGGAAGTAACGACGAGACTGACCCCTTCTCACTCACCAGTTTGAGAAAGGGTTAGCAGAGGTGGACTTCGAGAAGAGGCAAACCGAGGAGGGAAGCCGCCCCAGAGTGGACGAGATCGAGGGGAGCTCGGCGAAGAGTTAGTGCTATAGTTATTTTCATTATTTTTGTTCATGATCATGAGTATATAAACAGGAGATTCGATGTTTTGAGTTTGAGTGGTCTTGTTGACCATGGTTTGAGGTCGCCCAACTATTTAGGGCATTTCATTTGAAATTCTTTTGGAAAAGTTGTGGTTGTATTTGTTTTTATTGAAGTTTTTGAACATTATTTGGTCGGCTCCGGAGCCATGAGTATTTCAGATTGTTTAAAAGGATCTGGGTGTTACAAGATTCGCCGCCACAGACTTAAGCAGAACTTCCTTTGCCGCTGTTGATAGAGAATGATTCTTCCACCCGTCTAATATAGATATTCCACAAATCTAAAAGTTTCTATCTTCGAACGGCCCATAAGAGAAGGCAATCCCAAATAACGGTCCTGCAAACCAATCGAACCAACACCCAAAAGCTCACCAAAAACCTCCTGATCCAATTGACAAACATTTGGACTAAACCATGCTGTCGACTTGAGGAGATTTATCTTTTGGCCGTTGATACCTTCATACACATGAGGAATAGCAAGCAAAGAATCGATCTCACTTCGAGAATCACGGACAAACAGAAATGAATCATCACCAAACAAAAGATGCGAGATAGGAGGACTTTGGGGCCCCATCTGAACTCCATGAATAACCCTCTGTTACCTTGCTTGTCAGAATAAAGCAGTAAATCCTTCTGTACACAACACAAAAAGTAGAGCAGACAAGGGATCCCCTTGGAGCAGACCACGAGATGAAGCAAAATAA